ACGTATCAAGACATAGACACTCACTCGCTCTCTCTCTCTCTCTCGCTCTCTCATGCACAGGTCAGGTACACATATACATAAGGCATCCTCACAAACACACAGATACCCTCCAGTATCGCTTGCTACCGCACAGGGTGCCTGTGCCCTTTGCTGTGGCCCATAATGAGGTCCCGGATCAAAGTGTTGTTCACAGGGATGCTGGGTTGTGATGCTCACAGACAGTAGGAGGCTAATTGTCACCAAGCTATCTAAAACAGAATAATTATAGTATAGTAACATGGCCCCATGTTTAGAATCCAATCTACCTTCACCCTCATGCCTTTTATTCAAATAATGAGCTTTACTTTCTAGATGGGAGCTGGATGGTGGTGATTGTCCAGCATCCCTGTGGTGCCCTGTCTGTCAATCACACAGCACAGCACGCCCCTAGAGGCCGGGCCAGTCAGCAGTCCTTCCTCTGAGCTCAGTGGGACGTTTGTTACCCTTTACATTGATTTACACTGACCTTCATTCAGTCACACAAGAGGCTCTGCATAGACACACTCTGGCTTGAATGGGCCCTGACCCTGCTGTCACTGAAATAATAGAAATAATAACACGAGGAATGCATAATGAGTAACGAAAACTTGGCTATATACACAGGGTATGAGTACCAAGTCGATATGCAGGGGTACGAGGTAATTGAGGTAGATAAGTACATATACAGTTGAAGTCGGAAGTTTACATACACTTGGAGTCATTAAAACTCATTTTTCAACCACTCCACAAATTCCTTGTAACTATAGTTTTGGCAAGTCGGTTAGGACATCTACTTTGTGCATGACACAAGTAATATTTCCAACAATTGTTTACAGAGAGATTATTTCACTTATAATTAACTGTATCACAATTCCAGTGGGTCAGAAGTTTACATACACTAAGTTGACTGTGCCTTTAAACAGCTTGGAAAATTCCAGAAAATGATGTCATGGCTTTAGAAGCTTCTGATAGGCTAATTGACATCATCTGAGTCAATTGGAGGTGTACCTGTGGATGTATTTCAGGCCTACCTTCAAACTCAGTGCCACTTTGCTTGACATCATGGGAAAATCAAAAGAAATCAGCCAAGACCTCAGAAAATAAATTGGGAGCAATTTCCAAACGCCTGAAGGTACCACGTTCATCTGTACAAACAATAGTACGCAAGTATAAACACCATGGGACCACGCAGCCGTCATACCGCTCAGGAAGGAGACGTGTTCTGTCTCCTAGAGATGAACGTACTTTGGTGCGAAAAGTGCAAATCAATCCCAGAACAACAGCAAAGGACCTTGTGCAGATGCTGGAGGAAACGGGTACAAAAGTATCTATATCCACAGTAAAACAAGTCATATATCGACATAACCTGAAAGGCTGCTCATCAAGGAAGAAGCCACTGCTCCAAAACCGCCATAAAAAAGCCAGACTACGGTTTACAACTGCACATGGGGACAAAGATCATACTTTTTGGAGAAATGTCCTCTGGTCTGATGAAACAAAAATAGAACTGTTTGGCCATAATGACCATCGTTATGTTTGGAGGAAAAAGGGGTATGCTTGCAAGTCAAAGAACACCATCCCAACCGTGAAGCACGGGGTGGCAGCATCATGCTGTGGTGGTGCTTTGCTGCAGGAGGGACTGGTACACTTCATAAAATAGATGGCATCATGAGGAAGGAAAATTATGTGGATATATTGAAGCAACATCTCAAGACATCAGTCAGGAAGTTAAAGCTTGGTCGCAAATGGGTCTTCCAAATGGACAATGACCTCAAGCATACTTCCAAAGTTGTGGCAAAATGGCTTAAGGACAACAAAGTCAAGGTATTGGAGTGGCCATCACAAAGCCCTGACCTCAATCCTATAGAAAATGTGTGGGCAGAACTGAAAAAGCGTGCGCGAGCAAGGAGGCCTACAAATCTGACTCAGTTACACCAGGTCTGTCAGGAGGAATGGGCCAAAATTCACCCAACTTATTGTGGGAAGCTTGTGGAAGGCTACCTGAAACGTTTGACCCAAGTTAAACAATTTAAAGGCAATGCTACCAAATACTAATTGAGTGTATGTAAACTTCTGACCCACTGGAAATGTGATGAAAGAAATAAAAGCTGAAATAAATAATTCTCTCTACTATTATTCTGACATTTCACATTCTTAAAGTAAAGTGGTGATCCTAACTGACCTAAGACAGGGAATGTTTACTAGGACTAAATGTCAGGAATTGTGAAAAACTGAGTTTAAATGTATTTGGCTAAGGTGTATGTAAACTTCCGACTTCAACTGTAGGTAGGGATAAAGTGACTAAGCAACAGGATAGATAATAAACAGTAACGGCAGCGTATGTGGTGAGTCAAAAGAGTTAGTGTAAAATAGTTACCCGGGCTAACTATTTAGCAGTCTTATGGCTTGGGGGTAGAAGCTGTTCAGGGTCCTGTTGGTTCCAGACTTGGTGCATCGGTACCACTTGCCGTGCGGTAGCAGAGAGAACAGTATGACTTGGGTGACTGGAGTCTAACAATTATTAGGGCCTTCCTCTGACACCGCCTGATATAGAGGTCCTGGATGGCAGCGAGCTCGGCCCCAGTGATGTACTGGGCCGTACGCACTACCCTCTGCAGCGCCTTGCGGTCAGATGCCAAGCAGTTGTCATACCAAGCAATGATGCAGCCAGTCAAGATGCTGTCAATGGTGCAGCTTTAGAACGTTTTGAGGATCTGAGGGCCCATGCTGAATCTTTTCAGCCTCCTGAAGGGGAAGAGGCGTTGTCTTTCTCTCTTCACGACTGTGTTGGTGTGTATGGAGCATGATAATTCCTTAGTGATATGGACACAGAGGAACTTGAAGCTCTCAACATGCTCCACTACAGCCCCGTCGATGTGGATGGGTCTCTGACCTTCTCCCTGTAGGCTGTCTCATTGGCGTCGGTGGTCAGGCCTACTACCGTTGCGTCGTCGGGAAACGTAATGGTGGTGTTGGAGTCATGCGCGGCCACGCCGTCGTGGGTGAACAGGGGGTACAGGAGGGGACTAAGCACGCACCCCTGAGAGGCCCCCGTGTTGAGGGTCAGCGTGGCGGATGTATTGTTGTCTACCCTTACCACCTGGGGGCAAGCCCGTCAGGAAGTCCAGGATCCAGTTGCAGAGGGAGGTGTTTAATCCCAGGGTCCTTAATTTAGTGATGAGCTTGGAGGGCACTATGGTGTTGAATGCTGACCTGTAGTCAATGAACAACATTCTCACGTAGATTGGTTGAGGTGCTTCAGAGCTGCCAATTAACATGAGACTAGAATATCATCACTTAATCTGTTATGAAAACGTTATAAAACGCTTGTCTAAGAAAATATGCTCCCTCCCTCTGTCCCCAAGCTTAAATCTCAATTTAGAGATGGATCCAATCTTTTTTATTTTTCAGAAGAACAGTATTGACTAACTCCCGGAGATAGTGCTCAGTGGTGTTGGTGGCAGCAGCCACTCGCAGTAACCATTTTACTCCCACCACCGCAAGGTAGGGCTTCTTAAAAAAACAGCCAGCCAGGAAGAATGTGGATCACTCTGTGCCTTTCACGCTCATTGGAGCCACATGAACACCCGAGGGGTTTCAATGAGCCACTCCACTCTCCCATCAACACTATGGGCAAACTCATTTGTTTGTCCAGTGAGCTGCTTAGGGTACAATGGTTAGTCACTACTACCTATATAGTGCTCTTGGCATTTATTTACAGTTTTACACAGTTACATTTATCTTGATAGAGCCAATGTAATCTAGTAAAGACACTAACATTTGTCCCTTGGGCATTGGACACTTAGCAAAGAAACACATAGTACATAGAGGCCATTATGGGGTTAATGCCATGCATTTATTTCAGCACTGTCACATATTCCCCAGCCTTAACCGTCTTAGCATTCAAGTACCAGACATTAGACCTTCATTACATGAGCATAAACATGATATACTGTAGCACCTGGGAAAATGTATCAACATGTTCCCCTAACTAACACAAACTGTAATGTCATTCCATAAAACCAATACATATCACAGTTAATGTACAAGTCAGGTCATGAAGGCCTAATGCATGGGCTCCAACCTTATTCATCCTACGGAGATCATCCTTTCAAATGCATGATTTCAATTCCAAGAAATAATCCTCAAAGCCATACAATTCTACATTTCAGTGTTCAAATAAAATATTAGAACAGCAACAGCAGATAATTCCACTTTGTCATTTGCAGTGGTTGTAGAAGGTAACTACAGTACAGGAGCAAATGTACTTATGGATGAATGAACAGGCCAGCTACTGGATTAGTGTCCAATACAACAACAAATGCACAACCCTTATCATAGTCATCAAGATAACAAACATAAATGGATCTTAAACAAGTGAGTGGAAAAATGGAGGATAACTTGGAGGGTACAGGAATAAATACAGCTTTTTAATGCATAATATATGTCATTATACTTATATGTATGGCATGTCTTGATATATAATATTATGTATGCACATAGCTTTCATTCCTGTTTGGTACATGTGCTGATCAGGAGTAGTTGCACTGTCAGTCTTAAAACAGAAGTCTCTATCCATTCATCAACCAAGATTTGAAGGGGCTTCAAAATCTCCCTCAATGACAGATACAATAATATGATCAACAATTATGATACCAAGTGATACAATACAGAAGATGATCCAAATATGATGCTTGAACCAATAGCAGGTTATATGATAGCATAAGCCTATCAATGTAATTCTTATCCAATTCAAATCGATCACGCAAAGGTGTGTTAGACTGTAATATGACAAATGGAATGTATAAAGTAATCATTTAGGGCAGCGTTTCCCAACTCCGGTCCTCCAGTACCCCAAAGGTACATATTTTTGATGTGGCCCCGGACAAACACACCTGATTTTACTTGTCAACTAATCATCATGCCCTTGACAAGTTGAATCAGATGTTTTTGTCCGGGGCAACAACAAAAATGTGTGCTGTTGGGGGTACTCGAGGACCGGAGTTGGGAAACACTGATTTAGGGGAAAGTGAGCCTCCCAGGATACCCCGAGCCTTCAAACCACCACTGAATTGTTGGCTTGTGTGTGAAAATGGGCTGTTGCCTTTTGTCCTCAGTGTTTCATGAGTGTCTATAACCAGTGGGTTGTCAGGTTGTTTGTAATTTTACCGTCAGTATGTACTTGTAGGTCATTGATTGGTGGTGTCAGTTGGTCATTGATCTATGGTGTGAAGCAGGAGATCTGTTGATGGCTTGTTCTGTTCTGTCCTGTCCAGTCTCCGAGTGGTGCAGTATTCCTCTGGTGGGCTTAGGTTTGTCCCCTACAGTGCCATGGTATCTGCTCTCCCAGGCAGGGTGAGGTCTCTGGGGCTATAGTGGTAGGCGGATGTGCATGGCCGAGCTGTTGGGCCGTGCAGCCAGGATGTAGATGGCACTCTCCCTCAGGAAGTCTTCCCAGCTCACTAGTCTGGTGATGGAACAGAGAGGAGGTTAGGGAGCCATCTCCTCTAAACTGAGGTCAACCAAGGAAAGGCACACACACACACACACAGGCCTGTTTACTGCAAACACACATAATTATATTTAGTACACACCTGTTGTCATCTTTCTGACTGCTTCTCTCACTGCTGGAGCTGGCTGGACTGCTCTCAGATATGGGGCCAACATGGCTAATACTGCCTCAGGAAACACACACACAAGACAGAAAGATTGTATCACTATACACTACAATTGGTGGTATTGAGTTTCCAACATGTCTGCCAAGGACAAGACACCCTTTTCCTTCGAAAAGGGATTTGTTTCAGCTGTGAAGAGGTCAGGTGCAAATATAGTGCAAAACCACATTCCCACTGAAAATGTCTCAGTGGGTTATTGAGACCAAACGGCTCTCTTCCAGGCCACAGCCAAACTCATTAATTATTAAAGCTAGAGGAAGAGAAAGGTTCAAGGTCTGCTTTGTGAACCTCATCGATGCTACATCCTCAATCTCTGGCTTAATATTATGTCTATATTATACACTATAAGTAAGCTCTATGCAAAAGCTGTAAATAAAACAGCAGCTTCTCGCCGTGTCTGACCAAAGAGGTGAATTAGAATGCATCAGTTCTGGGCGTATACCCTCTCACGTCAACGTGGCCCCCCCGTGTCCTCTTAAAGCTGATGAGTGAAGCCTTCTAGAGCTTCTCACAGAAGAACAAAAGCCTATCTTTTGATCTTTCTAATGAGAGGACTGGATCTTTCTTATCAAACCAACAGGGAATCATAATAGGAAGGGCTCTTGGAGTATAGGCTAGACATCTCAATTGTTCTTTCAACTTTATTGCTACCACCAGTAGTGTTTGATCTATGATTTCATTATTCCTCAGGTGGACTTTATCCTGGCCTTGGTGAGTGGGGGAGTGAAATGATGGGTGGAATGTCAAAAAGGAATAGGTTGTGTGAGATTACTTGTGGATTGAGGGCTTGGAGGTGCTGAAGAGAAGAAAACGACATAACCCATGCCGTGCTGTGTCACTTACCCACAATTCACAGGAGAACACAATCCAATGAGTCTGTGAAGGATGGAACATAAAGTGGATGGAATGGCATTACATGACATACAGTGGGAGAAAAAAGCATTTAGTCAGCCACCAATTGTGCAAGTTCTCCCACTTAAAAAGATGAGAGAGGCCTGTAATTTTCATCATAGGTACACCTCAACTATGACAGACAAATTTAGATTTTTTTTCTCCAGAAAATCACATTGTAGGATTTTTTATGAATTTATTTGCAAATTATGGTGGAAAATAAGTATTTGGTCACCTACAAACAAGCAAGATTTCTGGCTCTCACAGACCTGTAACTTCTTCTTTAAGAGGCTCCTCTGTCCTCCACTCGTTACCTGTATTAATGGCACCTGTTTGAACTTGTTATCAGTATAAAATACACCTGTCCACAACCTCAAACAGTCACACTCCAAACTCCACTATGGCCAAGACCAAAGAGCTGTCAAAGGACACCAGAAACAAAATTGTAGACCTGCACCAGGCTGGGAAGACTGAATCTGCAATAGGTAAGCAGCTTGGTTTGAAGAAATCAACTGTGGGAGCAATTATTAGGAAATGGAAGACATACAAGACCACTGATAATCTCCCTCGATCTGGGGCTCCACGCAAGATCTCACCCCGTGGGGTCAAAATGATCACAAGAACGGTGAGCAAAAATCCCAGAACCACACAGGGGGACCTAGTGAATGACCTGCAGAGAGCTGAGACCAAAGTAACAAAGCCTACCATCAGTAACACACTACGCCGCCAGGGACTCAAATCCTGCAGTGCCAGACGTGTCCCCCTGCTTAAGCCAGTACATGTCCAGGCCCGTCTGAAGTTTGCTAGAGTGCATTTGGATGATCCAGAAGAGGATTGGGAGAATGTCATATGGTCAGATGAATATAACTTTTTGGTAAAAACTCAACTCGTCGTGTTTGGAGGACAAAGAATGCTGAGTTGCATCCAAAGAACATCATACCTACTGTGAAGCATGGGGGTGGAAACATCATGCTTTGGGGCTGTTTTTCTGCAAAGGGACTAGGACGACTGATCCGTGTAAAGGAAAGAATGAATGGGGCCATGTATCATGAGATTTTGAGTGAAAACCTCCTTCCATCAGCAAGGGCATTGAAGATGAAACGTGGCTGGGTCTTTCAGCATGACAATGATCCCAAACACACCGCCCGGGCAACGAAGGAGTGGCTTCGTAAGAAGCATTTCATGGTCCTGGAGTGGCCTAGCCAGTCTCCAGATCTCAACCCCATAGAAAATCTTTGGAGGGAGTTGAAAGTCCGTGTTGCCCAGCGACAGCCCCAAAACATCACTGCTCTAGAGGGGATCTGCATGGAGGAATGGGCCAAAATACCAGCAACAGTGTGTGAAAACCTTGTGAAGACTTACAGAAAATGTTTGACCTGTGTCATTGCCAACAAAGGGTATATAACAAAGTATTGAGAAACTTTTGTTATTGACCAAATACTTATTTTCCACCATAATTTGCAAATAAATTCATTATAAATCATACAATGTGATTTTCTGGATTTTCTTTTCTCATTTTGTCTGTCATAGTTGACGTGTACCTATGATGAAATTACAGCCCTCTCTCATCTTTTTAAGTGGGAGAACTTGCACAATTGGTGGCTGACTAAATACTTTTTTCCCCCACTGTAACAATGAAGGAGGGTAACACAGTGTAGTGCATGCACACACACACAGACACACACACACACACACACACACACTCATTGTGAATGAATCAGTATCAGGGAGAAGATCTAAATCACAGTGAAATTGCCAACACTGAGATGAGGTGCAGTGAGATGAAGAGTTATAGAAATAAACCTAGCTTAAGTAAATTATTCCATACAGCTCAGAGGAGCCCTGAAAAGTAGAGGAGCCAATAGGTCTCCAACAGGGCCGGCTCTACAAGGTAGCAAAGCCGGGCATGGACCCCCCAGATAGAATTTGTGCCCCCCCCCCCCCCCCCCCAGTTATATTAATTACCCTGCCCGGTTTTGCCAATGTAGCGCTGCCGGGCTTGCCAGTAACACAGACCGGGACAGAGGCTACAGTTGAAGTCGGAGGTTTACATACACTTAGGTTGGAGTCATTAAAACTTGTTTTTCAACCACTCCACAAATTTCTTGTTAAAAAACTATCGTTTTGGCAAGTCGGTTAGGACATCTACTTTGTGCATGACACAAGTCATTTTTCCAACAATTGTTTACAGACAGATTATTTCACTTATAATTCACTGTATCACAATTCCAGTGGGTCAAAAGTTTACATACGCTAAGTTGACTGTGCCTTTAAACAGCTTGGAAAATTCCAGAAAATGATGTCATGGCTTTAGAAGCTTCTGATAGGCTAATTGACATAATTTGAGTCAATTGGAGGTGTACCTGTGGATGTATTTCAAGGCCTACCTTCAAACTCAGTGCCTCTTTGCTTGACATCATGGGAAAACCAAAAGAAATCAGCCAAGACCTCAGGAAAAAATGGTAGACCTCAAAGTCTGGTTCATCCTTGGGAGCAATTTCCAAACGCCTGAAGGTACCATGTTCATCTGTACAAACAATAGTACGCAAGTATAAACACCATGGGACCACGCAGCCATCATACCACTCAGGAAGGAGATGCGTTCTGTCTCCTAGAGATGAACGTACTTTGGTGCGAAAAGTGCAAATCAATCCCAGAACAGCAGCAAAGGACCTTGTGAAGATGCTGGAGGAAACGGGTACAAAAGTATCTATATCCACAGTAAAACGAGTCCTATATCGACATAACCTGAAAGGCCGTTCAGCAAGGAAGAAGCCACTGCTCCAAAACCGCCATAGAAAAGCCAGACTACGGTTTACAACTGCACATGGGGACAAAGATTGTACTTTTTGGAGAAATGTCCTGTGGTCTGATGAAACAAAAATAGAACTGTTTGGCCATAATGACCATCGTTATGTTTGGAGGTAAAAGCGGGACGCTTGCAAGCCGAAGAACACCATCTCAACCGTGAAGCATGGGGGTGGCAGCATCATGCTGTGGGGGTGCTTTGCTGCAGGAGGGACTGGTGCACTTCACAAAATAGATGGCATCATGAGGAAGGAACATGATGTGGATATATTGAAGCAACATCTCAAGACATCAGTCAGGAAGTTAAAGCTTGGTCGCAAATGGGTCTTCCAAATGGACAATGACCCCAAGCATACTTCCAAAGTTGTGGCAAAATGGCTTAAGGACAACAAAGTCAAGGTATTGGAGTGGCCATCACAAAGCCCTGACCTCAATCCTATAGAAAATGTGTGGGCAGAACTGAAAAAGCGTGTGCGAGCAAGGAGGCCTAGAAACCTGACTCAGCTACATCAGCTCTGTCAGGAGGAATGGGCCAAAATTCACCCAACTTATTGTGGGAAGCTTGTGGAAGGCTACCTGAAACGTTTGACCCAAGTTAAACAATTTAAAGGCAATGCTACCAAATACTAATTGAGTGTATGTAAACTTCTGACCCACTGGGAATGTGATGAAAGAAATAAAAGCTGAAATAAATCATTCTCTCTACTATTATTCTGACATTTCACATTCTTAAAATAAAGTGGTGATCCTAACTGACCTAAGACAGGGAATTTTTACTAGGATTAAATGTCAGGAATTGTGAAAAACTGAGTTTAAATGTATTTGGCTAAATTGTATGTAAACTTCCGACTTCAACTGTAGGTAGGGATAAAGTGTGTGCTTGAGCTGAGGGGTGATGTAATAATGTAATATTTTGTAGTTAAAATCCAAAAATGCATTCTGATTGGGCACCTAGCCATGCAATGTCATAAGGTACCGGAATCATAACTTTGTTTAGGAAGCTCATTGGATCCCAGGGTGGGGTTTCTTTCCTCACAGAGAGGGGGAAAAGTTGTTCACTTTTGCAGACAGCTACAGCTAATAATAGGCTAGCCAGTAGCTACTAGCTTTGTTACGTTTTGGTAGCGGCACGCTGAATAATTATAGCTAGTTGGCTAAGCTTTATCAGCATGGATATAAAAAAATGGCTGGCCACTGCCAAGAGCAAAAAAAAAAAGAGGAACATGTCGAGAGCGACGCCAAGCTCACTGACCATCCTGCAGCAGGCCCGACCACCGAGATCGAGAAGGGCCAGGGCCTATCAACAGCAGCACAAGGGTAACATCACAACAAGCACCTGCACCTCTGTTACCCCAGTCACTAGCAACTGACGACCTGTTGAATCTAACCAAAACTGAACCAGTGGAGTTTATTGTGGCTCGAACATTCTTGTGAAGTGAAATCGCAACCACAGCCAGCAACAACAAATTAACCCCACTCAGTGTTCTTCAAAGACACGACGGGCCTTTGTCAGTAATGCCGACTGTACTGTTGGCACTGAAAGATGATTCAAAGTTTTGGGGCATCTACAGCATTGTGAGAAAAATCCGATGAAAACCCAGCAGTCAAATGAAACCCCAGCAGTCAGCTTTAGTTCACAGCTCTCACAGGCACAGTCAATGATGTTGCTGCATCTCATACCATGTTAAATAAAACAAATATTAGTTATTTGTTTGCAGAGCAGGGTTCCCCAACTGGCGACCCGCGATTTCATAGATGTTTTATTGTTGGACATAAAAGGCTGAAAACACCAGAAAATCAGCTTCAAGTGATTGACATTTTGCTAATCTGTTCCAAAGTATTCCTACGCATAATAGATATATATACTGTAGGTGATTGTGTTCAAATGTAAGCAAGGTTTGAAATTATTATGTTTTAGTAAAAAATATATTTGTTTGGGCTTCTTGCAGTCAATTTGCAGTCTACAAAATATTTGTAATTATGTTCGGGCCCCCTGACCATCCGCTCAAGAAAAGATAATCCCACAGCTGAATCTAGTTGATGTTCCCTGTTGTAGAATATGAGGCGGATAGAAGAGGAATAATGTGTCATATTGAGTAGGAGCGCCTGACTGCAAGTCTGTGACAGACATTGAATTAACTTTTCAACCTCATCTCCTGTAGATGGATGGTCATGGGCTCAGTCTCACCAGCGTTACGCTCACCTCACGCTGCAGGACTGGGACTCCTTGCTGAACTTCTGAAACCAGGACTGCTGGGCCCAGCGGGTCTCTGCTCCCGTGACCAGAAAGTCTTTATCCAGGTCCAAACCCATGAACACTGACCGCACGTGGTCTCTCTCCTTAGCGCTTAACAGACGCACCAACGAGTTCTGGGAACAAGGCAGTGTTAATTTTGGCACTCTTTAGTCCAGTCTCATTTTGACTAACAGCAGAAATATTAGCTGTCATGTAAATTCCTAATTCAGCCTACGCAGATATTGAACATTACATTAAAAAAAAAACAGACACACACAAGCACAGAGATAGATAGATAGATCGAGGAGAGGGAGAGGCACAAATCACCAGATGGTGCAGCAAAGTATTGGCAAAGTAGAATGGGTTGCACCTCACGTCATTGCCATTGTTGTCAATGTTCCACAGATGCATCAGCCACATTGGTGTCCAAAAGTAGAACGGGGGCTAATGACTTTCAAGGGGAGCTAATGATTGTTTCGCCCAGTGATGTAGTTGAGTCACTAAACCTCAAGTCCGAATCGGGAGACCCAAGTCCCCTGTACTCGAGTCCAAGTCAGAGTCACCAATGGTCGAGTCACGAGTTGAGTCACAAGTCCCTATGGCTGAAGTCTGAGTCCCAGTGCTCAAGTCCTGGTCCAATTGCTCAAGTCTGAGTCACTGGGTCCACATCAACTCAAAATAACAATATTTACCCAGTCATATAGTGTAGTGGAAAGATGAAATTGGTCAATAAATTGTTTGCTATCCCCTTTCCCTTTTAACTGTGCAACCAAATGTTTCCATATACATTACCAGTCAAAAGTTTGGACACACCTACTCATTCCAGGGTTTTTCTTTATTTTTACTATTTTCTACATTGTAGAATAATAGTGAAGACATCGAAACTATGAAATAACACATATGGAATCATGTAGTAACCAAAAATGTGTTAAACAAATCAAAATATGTTATATTTGAGATTCTTCAAATAGCCACCCTTTGCCTTGATGACAGCTTTGCACACTTTTGGCATTCTCTCAACCAGCTTCACCTGGAATGCTTTTCCAACAGTCTTGAAGGAGTTCCCACATATGCTTAGCACTAGTTGGCTGCTTTTCCTTCACTCTGCCGTCCGACTCATCCCAAACCATCTCAATTGGTTTGAGGTCGGGTGATTGTGGGGGCCAAGTCATAATTTTTTTGAGAATGGCGCCGGAGAAGATGGCTGCCGTTTTAAAGCCCTCTAACCAATTGTACTATTATGTGTGTTTTCTCGCGTTATTTGTAATTTATTCTGTACATAATGTTTCTGCCCCCGTCTCTTATGACCAAAAAGAGCTTCTGGATATCAGGACAGCAATTACTCAGGGATGCGTGCTCAGTCCCCTCCTGTATTCCCTGATCACCCATGACTGCATGGCTAGGCACAACTCCAACACCATCATTAAGTTTGCCGACGACACAACAGCGGTAGGCCTGATCACCGACAACGATGAGACAGCCTATAAGGAGGAGGTCAGAGACCTGGCCGTGTGGTGCCAGGATAACAACCTCTCCCTCAATGTAATCAAGACAAAGAAGATGATTGTGGACTACAGGGAAAGAAAGAGGACTGAGCACACCCCCATTCTCATCGACGGGGCTGTAGTGGAACAGGTTGAGAGCTTCAAGTTCATTGGTGTCCACATCACCAACAAACTATCATGGTCCAAACACAACAAGATAGTCGTGAAGAGGGCACAACAAAGCCTATTCCCCCTCAAGAGACTGAAAATAATTGGCATGGGTCCTCAGATCCTCAAAAGGTTCTACAGCTGCACCATCGAGAGCATCCTGACTGGTTGCATCACTGCCTGATATGGCAACTGCTCGGCCTCCGACCACAAGGCACTACAGAGGGTAGTGCGTACGGCCCAGTACATCACTGGGGCCAAGCTTCCTGCTATCCAGGACCTCTATACCAGGCGGTGTCAGAGGAAGGCCCTAAAAATTGTCAAAGACTCCAGCCACCCTAGTCATAGACTGTTCTCTCTGCTACCGCACGGCAAGCGGTACCAGAGCGCCAAGTCTAGGTCCAAAAGGCTTGTTAACAGCTTCTACCCTCAAGCCATAAGACTTGAACAGCTAATCATGGCTACCCGGACTATTTGCATAATTTTTTGTATTATTTTCTTAAAAACTGCAATGTTGGTTAAGGGCTTGTAAGTAAGCATTTCACTGTAAGGTCTACACCTGTTGTATTCGGCGCATGTGGCAAATACATTTGGTTTGATGCAGCACTCCATCACTCTCCTTGGTAAAATAGCCCTTACACAGCCTGGAGGAGTGTTGGGTAATTGTCCTGTTGAAAAACAAATGATAGTCCCACTAAGCCCAAACCACATGGGATGGCGTATCGCTGCAGAATGCTGTGGTAGCCATGCTGGTAAAGTGTGCCTTGAATTCTAAATAAATCACAGAGTGAAGGGATCACCAGCAAAGCACCCCCACACAATAACACTTCCTCCTACATGCTTTACGGTGGGAACTACACATGCAGAGATCAACTGTTCACCCACACCGCGTCTCACAAAGACACGGCGGTTGGATCCAAAAATCTCAAATTTGGACTCCAGACCAAAGGATACATTTCCACCGGTCTAATGTCCATTGCCTGTGTTTCTTGGCCCAAGCAGGTCTCTTCTTCTTATTGGTGTCCTTTAGTAGTGGTTTCTTTGCAGCAATTCGACCATGAAGGCCTGATTCACACAGCCCCTCTGAACAGTTGATGTTGAGATGTGTCTGTTACTTGAACTCAGTGAAGCATTTATTTGGGCTGCAATTTCTGAGACTGGTAACTCTAATGAACTTATCCTCAGCAGCAGAGGTAACTCTGGGTCTTCCATTCCTGTGGCAGTCCTCATGAGAGCCAGTTTCATCATAGCGCTTGATGGTTTTTGCAACTGCACTTGAAGAAACTTTCAAAGTTCTTGACATTTTCCGTATTGACTGACCTTCATGTCTTAAAGTAATGATGGACTGTCCTTTCTCTTTGCTTATTTAAGCTGTTCTTGCCATAATATGGACTTGGTATTTTACCAAATAGGGATATCTTCTGTATACCCCCCCCCCCCCCCCCCCCCCCCTACCTTGTGAAAACACAACTAATTGGCTCAAACGCATTTAAGGAAAGAAATTCCACGAATTAACTTTTAAGAAGGCACACCTGTTAATTGAAATGCATTCCAGGTGACTACCTCATGAAGCTGGTTGAGAGAATGCCAAGAGTGTGCAAAGCTGTCATCAAGGCAAAGGGTGGCTATTTGAAAAATCTCAAATATAAAATATATTTTGATTGGTTTAACACTTTTGGTTACTACATGATTCCATATGTGTTATTTCATAGTTTTGATGTCTTCACTATTATTCTACAATGTAAAAAATAGTAAAAATAAAGAAAAACCCTTGAATGAGTAGGTGTGTCCAAACCTTTGACTGGTAGTGTGTGTGTATATATATATATATATATATATATATATATATATATATGCCACACATGCATATATAATGTGTACTACAACACTCATGATTCCCACTGGCTTAGTGGGTTCTGATGGGTTCTGGTACCTCTGTGCGGAACTTCCTGAGCACTCCCAGGGACTCGTGGTAGAGGAAGTCACACCACTCAATCTGGCCCCTCTTCTCTGGGTCCAGGGCAGCGAACTGAGCCAGTACCTCCTCTTCCTGCTCATCAGACAGGTCCTTCTCAAACAGTTGCTTGGACACAAAGTGGCGGTACTGCAGCAGCTCATCCGACACCAGGCACGACTCTACACAGCAAGAGAAATTAATCACAACACCCAAAATGAATCATCACAAGCAGTGATCCAGATACAATTAGTTTATGATTATTATTAATTTTACAAAGGTGAAACGCCTCTCATTGATTTCCCTTCACATCCCTTCACACAGTAGGAAACAAGGCTCAAATAGTGTGTAGTTTTATAGTTACCTGTAACAGACAATTGCTAACAAATACATACAGTAACAGGTCGTTACCAATAATTACTAATTGCTAATGTATTAAAAATAAAAAACTTAAATATCACATTTACATAAGTATTCAGACCCTTTACTCAGTACTGTGTTGAATCACCTTTGGCAGTGACTACAGCCTTGAGTCTTCTTGGGTATGATGCTACAAGCTTGGCACACCTGTATTTGGGGAGTTTCCCCCATTCTTCTCTGCAGATCCTCTCAAGCTCTGTCAGGTTGGATGGAGAGCGTTGCTGCACAGCCATTTTCAGGTCTCTCCAGAGATGTTCAATCGGGTTCAATTCCGGGCACTGGCTGGGCCACTCAAGGACATTCAGAGACTTGTCCCGAAGCCACTCATGTGTTGTCTTGGCTGTGTGCTTAGGGTCGTTGTCCTGTTGGAAGGTGAACCTTCGCCCTAGTCTGGAGCAGATTTTCATCAAGGATCTCTCTGTACTTTGCTCTGTTCATCTTTGCCTTGATTCTGACTAGTCTCCCAGTCCCTGCTGCTGAAAAACATTCCCACAGCATGATGCTGCCAACACCATGCTTCACCGTAGGGATGGTGCCAGGTTTCCTCTAGAAGTGACGCTTGGCATTTAGGCCAAAGAGTTCAATCTTGGTTTCATCAGACCAGAGAATCTTGTTTCTCATGGTCTGAGAGTCTTTAGGTGCCTTTTGGCAAACTCCAAGCGGGCTTTCATGTGCCTATTACTGAGGAGTGGCTTCCGTCTGGCCGCTCTACCATAAAGGCCTGATTGGTGGAGTGCTGCAGAGATGGTTGTCCTTCTGGAAGGTTTTCCCATCTCCACAGAGGAACTCCAGAGCTCTGTCAGTGACCATCGGGTTCTTGGTCACCTCCCTGACCAGGGCCCTTCTCCCCCGATTGCTCAGTTTGGCCGGGCGGCCAGCTCTAGGAAGAGTCTTGGTGATTCCGAACTTCTTCCATTTAAGAATGATGGAGTCCACTGTGTTCTTGGGGACCTTCAATGCTGCATACATTTTTTGGTACCCTTCCCCAGATCTGTGCCTCGACACAATCCTGTCTCGGAGCTCTACGGACAATTCCTTCAACCTCAGGGCTTGGTTCTCTCTCTGACATGCACTGTCAACTGTGGGACCTTATATAGACGTGTGGGCCTTTCTAAATCATGTCCAATCAATTCTATTTACCACAGGTGGACTCCAATCAAGTTGTAGATACATCTCAAGGATGATCAATGGAAACAGGATGCACCTGAGCTCAATTTCGAGTCTCATAGCAAAGGGTCTGAATACTTATGTAAATAAGGTATTTCAATTTTTTGTAGTTAATAAATTAGCAAACATTTCTAAAAACCTGTTTTCACTATCGTTATGTGGTATTGTGTGTAGATTGCTGAGGATTTGTATTTATTTAATTAATTTTAGAATAAGGCTGTAACTTAACAAAATGTGGAAAAGGTCAGGGGGTCTGAATACTTTCCGAAGGCACAGTATGTACTGATCTATTAACCTCTTAAGGATCTGACCTTTTTTTCAACTTTCGCCTAAAATGACATACCCAAACCTAACTGCCTGTAGCTCAGGACCTGAAGCAAGGATATGCATATTCTCGATACCATTTGAAAGGAAACACTTTGAAGTTTGAAGGAAATGTGAAATTAAGGTAGGATCTGGTAAAAGATAATACAAACAAGAAAACATGTGTTTTCTAATTTTTTTTGGTTCCATCATCTTTGAAATGCAAGAGAAAGACCACAATATAATATTGCAGTTTAGGCGCAATTTAGATTTTTGCCAATAGATGGCAGCAGTGTGCGTGTAAAGTTTCAGATTGATCCAGTGAAGCATTGCAATACTGGACTATTTTGTATCAAGTCTGCCGAATTGGTCAATTGATACATTTTCAAGTATATAACTATAGAGAACATACAAAAATGATATGGTAATACAAAATGTAAGTTTACACACTCCCAGGAATGTCATACATGATGGATCATTAGCTTATACCCTAACTTTCACACATCTAGATGGCCGGGCGGGGTGGGTGTGGAGCCAGAGACAGCAGGGGTTCAAACTGTAGAACCCAGTTCCTACATTTGAATATAAAAATGGATTTTATCAAACAAAACTATGCTACATTTTATCTCTGGGACCCTTAGGATGACAAATCAGAGCAAGATTACTGAATGTAAGTACATTATTTACCTTCAGAGGTGAATGTATCACATTTTGTTGTGGTTGTGCACTCTACTCAAACAATAGCATTGGTATTTTTTCACTGTAATAGCTACTGTAAATTGGACAGTGCAGTTAGATTACCAATAATTTAAGCTTTCTGCCCATATAAGACATGTCTATGTCCTGGAAAGTTTGCTGTTACTTACAACAGTCATGCTAATCACATTAGCGCACGTTACCTCAACCGTCCCGTATACGGGACACCGATCACGTAGAGGTTAATCTGTCTACCGTGCTATACCCAATAAAGCATACTTGTCTCCACTTATAGAGATCTGTCAGCTATGAAATGTATTGTGCTCTAGAGCTGCAGCAGTATGACAGTATGACTGACCAGGGATGATCTTGCACTGCTTGAAGGTTTCCATTAGGCTGTACATCTCCTCTTCAGTCAGAAGCAGGTTCACATTGTCCTGTGGGAGGGAAAGGTCACGGTTAATGGGGAGAGATCGGATACAAACTGCCGTCTGAAGTATAGTCAAGTAGAGGGTACTGGAAAGCAGCACGAAGTAGGTTTGGGCAGTATACCATAGACCGAGGTATTTGGAAATAGCCACGGGATGGTTTTTCAATACCATCAATACCTTTTTTTGAAAAAAAAATTCAATACATTTTTTTTTTGTTGTAGCTACTTTTGAAGTAAATACCTGCAGTCAACTTGTGCATTACGATAGGAAATAAAGCAGATTACGTTCTTCATTTCACCTCTCATGTTATTTTACTTTATGAAGCTTACCGAAGTACCCCACAACAGCTGAGCCAGTCATGTGTTTGTTTGAAAATAGCACAACAGGAGAAAGCAGGAGCAGGTTAGTCCAGCTGTTTGTTGACAGGGGTTGTGTTTTATATTGAAAGTCAACAGTGTTGTTTTTGCTTCAATAGAGTGATCAGGGGCATTTATCAGATGACAACAGAAGTGCAGCGCTATTTGGCTGGCAGCCACACAAGTAAATGAGCGTACAATGAAAAAGCAAGGTATTTTTTGCAAAAACGATGCATGGCCATCATATTTCTAATGTTTATCATAGAAATAATATAGCCAGCTACATTTCCTAATGGTTTGCTTAAAGTTAATCTTGCATTTTACCAGAGAAAAGTAGGCTACACCACGAAAAGTAGGCTACCGGAGAAAAGTAGCTACAGATCAGTCCGAGCGCTGTCTGTTGATAAAATGCCCATTAGTGAATTCTCATCTCAGTGGAGAAGTGCAGCTGAAGCACAACATTTGTCTGATGCCGAGCAAAAATTACAATAAGAAGCATTTTAAATCTGTGTTTACAAAACACAGCAAGATATCTCTTAGGGATTGAACTTTATTTATAATAAGGGCTACATCGTACCTCTCTGAAATGAAAATGGATGGCCCTCCCTTCAGCAAAATATATTTGACCTAAACCCTCCCTGAACGCTTGAAAAAACAAAGTGACCCTCCCCTATACCCAAAATAATAATTAAAACAAACTCATTCTAAAACACTGAGAAATATTGAAATTTCATCAATTACAATTTACATGACCCTCCCATGGACTAGATAAAAAATACTAAACCCTTGACTGATATTGAAAAAGCATGACCCTCCCCCATTTTCCACCAGGTACCAATTCTGTACATTTCGATCCATCCTTTATGGGTTTTCTTTTTTTTCAGTGTAAAAAACACAGATTTTTGCGTTAACGACCCATAAGTTTAACTTGCTAGTTATATAAGTAAGGGGCTGAATTAATAAGGAGACGGGGCATCATATAGTGTTAGCTTTCTGCCGTGTTTGAGAAGTCAAAGCCCTTTGGATGAGTTATCTGGATAGCTGTCACTGCTATGATTCCCTTGCGTTTTCTCTCCTCTCTGTTCTTGGCCCTCTGCTCCTCCCCCCTCTTCTCAGAGCAGAGCAGGGAGAGCATGTACACATGCTGCTCCAGAGCCAGTACTGTTCTTCCTTCAGACAAGCATGCGTCAAAATGTTGTCCATTTGCACATTTTATCTTGTTCACATTCACTTGTAAATGTCCAAACTCAAAATTCAGTAGCTCCTACCTATATATGTATGACCTGGATTGCCTGTCTTTGCAATTCATTTATTTTCGTTTGCGCTCATTAGCATATTTAGCTAGCAGCCTCCATGGAAATTCGCTATTACTTCTGCTAATTTTGTTAGCATTCTGGTAATAGACGCCCAATGGGATTTTTTGCGTACTAAGCCAGTAATACCGTAAATCCCGGGATGAGAGAAGGCAGGTATGAACATCTGGATACCGCCCAACCCTAGCACAAAGTGTGACCCACTGCCCTCATACTGTATGCGCTATAATGGCGTGTACCATAAATGAAGTGTTCTGCAGTAGATTATATATGGTGTGCCCCCAAATGGATTAATGTGCAGTGTGTCTGAACGCATTAAGTTCAGCATGTTCTAGAAAGCCCTGGTGTGCTTATTATGCAGTTTCTCTAAAGCTATTATTATCAAGTGTGTCAAGTGTATTAGATGGCTTTATAGTATTGCTTCTTAGAAACTGTCCTGAAATTTAAAAAAAACACAGTAATAGGAAAATATAAGCAGCCATTTTACTACACTCCAGAAAGGTGATGAGTCTGAATGTGCACCATATGTCTACCTGATTCTGTCTACCATGCTGTTCACGCTAAAAACTTGGCGAGGGAGCAATTCAGGTCGAACACATTGAAACTTCCATTAAGTGAATTATCTGCAGCAGGTGTGTGGAGGATGCGGAGGCTCTCAACCCTGATGAGCAGGTTGAGTTGAGGAAGTTGGAGGATGAGGATGACAGAAGGTAATAATTGAGGTGGATAATTGGCCATGATGTGTGAAATCTCTGGGTAGCCCAGGGTTATGGAGATCACATGAAGATCAAACTGTTTGATTTCCAGTAGCATCACCACCTAAATATATTTTGATTAAAGCTTTACGCACTAATATGGAGCTTGAAAACAGGATATGGAGTCCAAAACTAGAGCTCTGTGTGTGCTATTTGGGCTTTCACTAGCCCCTTTACGGAATCAAATTAACAATAGCTTCAGGAAAGATAGGCCTATCCTTTAGAGAATGTACAGTGAGGGAAAAAAGTATTTGATCCCCTGCTGATTTTGTACGTTTGCCCACTGACAAAGAAATGATCAGTCTATAATTTTAATGGTAGGTTTATTTGAACAGTGAGAGACAGAATAACAACAACAAAATCCAGAAAAACGCATGTCAAAAATGTTATAAATTTATTTGTATTTTAATGAGGGAAATAAGTATTTGACCCCCTCTCAATCAGAAAGATTTCTGGCAACCAGGTGTCTTTTATACAGGTAACGAGCTGAGGTTAGGAGCACACTCTTAAAGGGAGTGCTCCTAATCTCAGCTTGTTACCTGTATAAAAGACACCTTTCCACAGACGCAATCAATCAATCAGATTCCAAACTCTCCACCATGGCCAAGACCAAAGAGCTCTCCAAGGATGTCAGGGACAAGATTGTAGACCTACACTAGGCTGGAATGGGCTACAAGACCATCGCCAAGCAGCTTGGTGAGAAGGTGACAACAGTTGGTGTGATTATTCGCAAATGGAAGAAACACAAAAGAACTGTCAATCTCCCTCGGCCTGGGGCTCCATGCAAGATCTCACCTCGTGGAGTTGCAATGATCATGAGAACGGTGAGGAATCAGCCCAGAACTACACGGGAGGATCTTGTCAATGATCTCAAGGCAGCTGGGACCATAGTCACCAAGAAAACAATTGGTAACACACTACGCCGTGAAGCACTGAAATCCTGCAGCGCCCGCAAGGTCCCCCTGCTCAAGAAAGCACATATACAGGCCCGTCTGAAGTTTGCCAATGAACATCTGAATGATTCTGAGGAGAACTGGGTGAAAGTGTTGTGGTCAGATGAGACCAAAATCGAGCTCTTTGGCATCAACTCAACTCACCGTGTTTGGAGGAGGAGGAATGCTGCCTATAACCCCAAGAACACCATCCCCACCGTCAAACATGGAGGTGGAAACATTATGCTTTGGGGGTGTTTTTCTGCTAAGGGGACAGGACAACTTCACCGCATCAAAGGGACGATGGACGGGGCCATGTACCATCAAATCTTGGGTGAGAACCTCCTTCCCTCAGCCAGGGCATTGAAAATGGGTCGTGGATGGGTATTCCAGCATGACAATGACCCAAAACACATGGCCAAGGCAACAAAGGAGTGGCTCAAGAAGAAGCACATTAAGGTCCTGGAGTGGCCTAGCCAGTCTCCAGACCTTAATCACATAGAAAATCTGTGGAGGGAGCTGAAGGTTCGAGTTGCCAAACGTCAGCCTCGAAACCTTAATGACTTGGAGAAGATCTGCAAATAGGAGTGGGACAAAATCCCTCCTGAGATGTGTGCAAACCTGGTGGCCAACTACAAGAAACGTCTGACCTCTGTGATTGCCAACAAGGATTTTGCCACCAAGTACTAAGTCATGTTTTGCACAGGGGTCAAATACTTATTTCCCTCATTAAAATGCAAATCAATTTATAAAATTTTTGACATGCGTTATTCTGGATTATTTTGTTGTTATTCTGTCTCTCACTGTTCAAATAAACCTACCATTAAAATTATAGACTGATCATGTCTTTGTCAGCGGGCAAACGTACAAAATCAGCAGTGGATCAAATACTTTTTTCCCTCACTGTATTTATCACACGTATGCTAAATAGTCAAAACTCTGCCTGCCAGATATCATAAAAGGGGGTGCCAGAACAGGAGAACAGCAAAAGGAGGGGATGCAGAGGTGGTGAATCAAATCTGGGGGCTGCTAGAGACAGTCTGCTGGGTAATATTTGTACTTTAGTATTTCAGAGGATTGCGTAAACACACTGTGTTCAATATGAGTCAACAAATAATCCCATAATTGTGAGTGCATTGATTAGCCTGCATGGGGAGGCAGTTTCCTGGGCCTGGATCTGGCTGCGTACCATACTCACTCTCACTCAATATCCACCGTGCTCAATCACCTCAGCACCGGGAGACTGCTGACTTCTGTTCTGTACATAGTGGGATGTGTTGAACTTGGTGTATAATTAAACACCACAACCCACTTTCTTGGCTACTGTATGTGTTTGTGTATTCTCCAGCAGGTTTGTTAAACTATTGCTCAAGATCAGTTCATGGTGAAAATAATCCCATTTGAAATCCTCATGGAGCATTACTAAACATACACTACATGAGCAAAAGTATGTGGACACCTGCTCGCCGAACATCTCATTCCAAAATCATGGGCATTAATATGGAGTTGGTCCCCCCTTTGCTGCTATAACAGCCTCCACTTTTCTGGGAAGGCTTTCCAATAGATGTTGGTACATTGCTGCGGGGACTTGCTTCCATTCAGTCACAAGAGCATTAGTGAGGTCGGGCACTGATGTTGAGCGATTAGGCCTGGCTCACAGTCAGCGTTCCAATTCATCCCAAAGGTGTTCGATGGGGTTTAGGTCAGGGCTCTATGCAGGCCAGTCATGTTCTTCCACACCGATCCCAACAAACCATTTCTGTATGGACCTCGCTTTGTGCACAGGGGCATTGTCATGCTGAAACAGGAAAGGGCCTTCCCCAAACTGTTGCCACAAAGTTGGAAGAACAGAATCGTCTAGAATGTAATTGTATGCTGTAGCGTTAAGATTTCCCTGAACTGGAACTAAGGGGCCTAGCCCGAACCATGAAAAACAGCCCCAGACCATTATACCTCCTCCACCAAACTTTACAGTTGGCACATTGCATCTGGGCAGGTAGCGTTCTCCTGGCATCCGCCAAACCCAGATTTGTCCGTTGGGCTGCCAGATGGTGAAGCGCAATTCATCACTCCAGAGAACGTGGTTTCCACTGCTCCAAAGTCCAATGGCATCGAGCTTTACACCACTCCAGCCGACGCTTGGCATTGCGCATGGTGATCTAAGGCTTGTGTGGCTGCTCGGCCATGGAAACCCATTTCATGAAGCTCCCGACGAACAGTTATTGTGCAGACGTTCCTTCCAGAGGCAGTTTGTAACTCTATAGTGAGTGTTGCAACCGAGGACAGATGATTTTTACGCGCTTCAGCACTCTGCGGTCCCATTCTGTGAGCCACTTCGCGGCATAGCTGTTGTTGCTCCTAGACATTTCCACTTAACAATAACAGCACTTACAGTTGACCGGGGCAGCTCTAGCAGGATAGAAATTTGACAAACTTACTTGACGGTGCCACGTTGAAATTCACCTGAGCTCTTCGGTAAGGCCATTCTACTGCCAATGTTTGTCTATGTAGTTTGCATGGCTCTGTGCTCGATTGTATGCACCTGTCAGCAACAGGTGTGGCTGAAATTGCCGAATCCACTAATTTGAAGGGGTGTCCACATACTTTTGTATATATAGTGTAACTGTCAACCACAGTAATCAATTGGATGACCTGCCATAGGTGTTTCTGATTATATGTTCATCTCCCGAGTAATGCCTGGAGTTTTTTTTATGTATTTGTTCATCCAATCTAAACAAGTTTAAATAGGTTACTCTATCCTGAGCACTTTGGGGATTTGTGCACCGAATCAAATAATAACATATTGAAAGTAATTACTTATTATGTTGCAAAGACCCTTAAGCAATAACAATAAAATATAGGGAAACTGTTGTTGTGACTTTATGGTCCCCTTGACAGTGGAAAAGTCTAGTCAGAGGTGACAGCAGCACCAGCTCTAACCACTTTAGACAAAGCCCCAAGCCCCATGACTGTTGGTGAGAATGGCACAACACCAAAGCTGTGAAATTAAATGTCAAAGGGGACACAGCTAGACATTTTGGATGACTGTACTAGGCAATAAAATAAATAGTATTAGTTTCTGCAGCTTCGATGACAGTTCTTACACTCTTAGAAAAAATGGTTATTTTGCTGTCCCCATTGGATAACCTTTTTTGGTTCCAGGTAGAACTCTTTTGGGTTCTATATAGAACCCTCTGTGGAAAGGGTTCTTCATGGAACTCAAAAGGGTTCTACCTGGAATCAAAAGGGTTCTACCTGGAACCAAAAAGGGTTCTTCAAAAGGTTATCCTATGAGGACAGCCGAAATCCCATTTTAGCTTCTAGATAGCACCTTTTGAGTGTAGAGTTGAACTCTTCAGAGATGAAAAGGTGTATTTTTCTCACTGTCACTTTCATCCTCTTCTATCACTGTTCATCACTTCACTTTCTCCCTCTCACCCATACTGATTGTGGGCCAGCGAGGAAAAATTACATTGGCTGGAATTATCTTAAGAGAAAATACTTATATACAGTAAAATGCAGATTTATGCTGCACAGTGTGTGGGGACGAGGTGTGTTCAGGTTCATAAAGTGTGTGTTGTTAACACTTGTGCGTTTTAGCGGTTAGAGCGTTGGGCCAGTAAACAAACGGTTGCTGGTTCGAATACCCGAGCCGACAAGGTGAAAAATCCATTTGTGCCGTTGCGTAAGGCACTTAACCTTAATTTGCTCCAGGGGCGCCGTATTACTATAGCTGCCCTGTAAAATAACACATTTCACAGCACCAACCCGGTATGTGACAATAAAACTTTTTTTTCATTTTTTAACAGTGGTGGGTATGACTCAAGGTGAAAAAGAGATTACATTTTTCTTTATTTTTTTTCTTTGTGGAGTGTGGTTGGTCTATGTGAATAGCCAATGGGAAGTTCAGATTGACTGAGTGACTCACGCAGTAGTAGCAACTCCAGCCTGTCGCGGTGTGGGCTGTCTCCCTCATCTCCTGCAGGAGTTCGGTGCGCAGGTAGCCCAACTCCCTCAGACAGCCGTCATGGAAGACACGTGTGCAGGTCCTGCAGGGGAACAGGTCGTCGGCCGTCCACACCTCACACACCTCGCACATCTCATCATTGACCGGCTGGAGGAAAAGGCAATTAAGGTCACTGGGTTAAAGGTCATACTCATAATACTCATGGGGGTTTGATGCCTACATAGGAGGACTGTAAGTTGTATTTCAAATCAACTAGCTGAAAGATGCATCCGTATGTCTGTGAAATTTAAGTCACTCACACACAGACTCTCAGACAGAGCAGCTTTGAATCAGATGGCACCATGATGAATGCTAGCGGTCCTCTCATTGATGTTACAGTCTAGACAGGGTATTGGCTTGATTAAAACAACGAATACAAACAATTTTGTGTCAGTCTGCCGATTATGCCATGCACTCAAATATTTGATTTAAGTTTGGATCAAAGCTTAGACAGCACTGTTTTCTTTCATAGTAATTTAATAAGTATGGAGTGACATGTATCATTTTAGCAGCATCAGTTTAGTGTTGCTCTTCTCCTCTGATTTCAGGTCCGTCCCTCAGGACTGTATTTACAGGCGGAACACACTTGACTGTCAACACAGTGAAAATTCTTATAGTGGGAAGTTTGACTATAGCAAAGTCAGTTATAATAATAATAAGTTAGACTCAATTCACTGTATGTGTATTTACCTTTTTCACCTTAGTTTTTATCCTATCCCCATGGTCATCTGGACTGACCTTGTCAAACCTGGTCCCTGACAGGTGACCATAGCCAGAAGGAATCATACCTCCTCCATGCTCAATACTCAAACCTATTAACTATATCCTACAGACAGTGTGGTCTATACTCATCACATTATGAAACGGATGTAACTCAACAGTAGTTTCTATCCATCTTGTCTTTTATCATTATGTAGGAGGATTCTTATTACAGTTATTCTGTAGAGAGGCTGATAGGAAAGGATAAATGTCTCTATTGATTTTATTCAACCATGAAGGGGGCTGAAATTGCCTTCCAACATCATAATTATATCAGATTTTTTTGTAACTCCTTGACTAATTATGCTATTTTTTCTCTCTTATGTGAAGTATCCTACAGCTCCAAATATGAACAATTAAATGTAGGTCTGATATCTATAATTTATTATATTTTGTAACAAGTGTTATATTAATAATATATTCCATTTAGCATATATTAGTATAACACTTGTTATATTTTGTTGCTGCTATGGCCATCTGTTTCAGTCAGATGTTAATGTTTTATCTGCTCCTCTCCAGTCTGACCCTGAAGCTCGTATTATTGTAACATATTATTGTTCATTACTGTAAATTGTCCAATCTCTATTCGATTAGTTATATCTGATGAGCACCATTAGTGATAGAAAGCATAACAACAATCACAATCCTCTCTAAGAGTCCTATTATAACAGTGTGCTCTTCCTAATAGCCCCAACCGGCTGATTGGTCATCTGGTCCACTCCTGAACCCCGCCCCCCTCCCTGACCACCTCAGGATCCCAATTAGTTATGGTGACCCTGGGTTGTGAGGCAGGGCCAAGGCCTCCTCTCTGAGACAGCCCGAGTACCCGCCCACACCACAGCACGCTCTCTATGAAGAGCACTTAGACACAAGCTCTACTGTGGAGTGGAAATAGCTGGTGTGACAAAAGCATTTCTTTTTTTTCACGTTTTATTAGTCATATGTAGGGGATACACATGGTATACACCGTCCAATGAAATGCTTACTTGCTTATCTATAAATGCTTATCTCACCTATGGGAGAAAATGATAGACTCACCATACTTAACAGTTGTTTAAGTCTCTTTTCAGTCGGAACATCAACTCAACTGGAGTGCATGGGGGATAATACTGTTGCCATTGTAATTCCTTTAAAATCTGACATGCATCTTTAAAACCCCAAGGTCTGGGGATTTAAAGAACAAAGTGTGGATTTAGTAAAAGTAAATCCCTTATTGTACAATACCCCACACTACCTTACCTGCTCTCTTTGTCCCAGTGCTATTTCTACAGGCTGGTCATCATTGGCATCTCTCTTGGGACGTACAAAGGCAGGTGGGGTGAGCTGATGGCCGGTCTTGTCCAGATCCTCAGGCTCCACCCCCTTCCCGTCCCGTAACCTATTCCAGGCCTCCTGGTTGACCTTACACTCGTCCCTGGTGGGTGCCGGAGCAGCAGCTTGCTGGGAGGTCCCTGAGGGCCCCACTTTGCTGTCTGTCTCCCCGTGATCCCCCTCCTTCTTCGGGTTTAGTGGTGGCAAGGCTTCAGCCGGCCCCTCTCCTTCCTCTCCAGATCTTTCCCCCTGGTTTGTTGTGGATGGAGCGCGTTCCTTCAAGCCCTGCTGAAAGGCAGAGACGACCGAGGTGCATTTCTGCACCTGCTGCTTCTTGGACATGAGCACTCCCATGACTAGAAAGAGAAAGAAAAAGAGAAAGAGAGAGAGAGAGATTCATTATTACTGCTCATCAATCACATCCCACTGGGCACAGATGTCAATTCGACATCTATTCCACGTTGGTTCAACGTCCTTTTATTGAAATGACGTGGAAACAACGTTGATTCAACCAGTGTGTGCCCAGTGGATGAAATGATAGGAGCAGTAAACATAAATCAACAAATGAAATGGATGGGAAGAGTAGAACAAAACCCAGTAATCTCCAGACAACAAACACAACATGTGTAACTAACTACTTGAGCTCATTCCACTCGGCTCATAAGTGACCATGAATTCCATTATTGAAAATGGGGCAGTTGGATTCAAGTTGATTACACGGTACTTAGAGGACACATGTTGCGATCTGAAATCCAATCCCATTCATCCAGAGTACAACAGGAGTCCTTCCCGGTCTCTGTCCTTCCCTGACTCTGTCCTCTCCTGTCATTCTCAAGTTGAATGGCTTTAGGCTTTAGGCTTCTGTTCTTAGGGCTGTTGGTGTACTATTTCCTCCTGCTCAATGACAGGATTTGGAGGACATTCTCGCCTCACACCCATAGGCCTTTACAGATACAGCCTCCTTCTGTGGACAAACTCATAAATGTCCTCAGAGTGACAGGAGGAGATAATTATGCTGGTGTAATTAACCTCACCCAGTGATGTGTCCTTCCTCCCTTAGCTCAGTGTTGAGGTGATGGGGGACGGGTGATACATCAGACAGTCAGACACAGTGATGAGGCTTAGGTGGTCTGTCTGGGTACTGTCTCATATTAGATAGGATTGACAAAGTCAGGAGTAATGGCAAGGTCCAGGGTGGTCATCTTTGTTGAATCTACTCAGAATGTACTGAGGAAACATACAATTTATTTGTCACGTGCACAGGATACAACAGGTGGAAAACAGTACAGTGAAATGCTTACTTGCAAGCTCTTTCCCAACAATGCAGTATTAAATATCAATGGTACGAGGAAATAATGTAAATGTGAGCTAGTGTAAAGGTGTTTCCAGACACCAGAACTAAGTTAAATGAAAGTGAAGGACTTGCACTGTGAATAAGGAGAGGAAAGACCATGCAGAGGATCATATAAAACATGAGCAGGTAAAAAAATATATTCTTTGCTCATGTCAGATATCTTCCATGATGGGAAGTCAGACTGTATCTGGGAGTTGGAGCTCACATATTGCTGCAAGACTCATGGTACCCTGTTGTGGGAAGAGTCTATAGAGCTCACGGGGTATCTGATGAAAACCACAGGGAGGCTACAGTCAGGCTCCACTGGAGGCCATCCCTGGCTGACCAGACCTGGCACACACACTACCATCCTGACTAAAGGGCCTGGCACCCCCTGATAGACATAAGAAATCTGCCTCTCATTACTTAACATCCTCTCCTGGAGCTGGAACTGCTCGTATAGAGACTGAGCAGTGTAGCAGTCCTCCCCGTTTTTAGGTTAAAGGGGCAGTGCAGTTAAAAACATGATTTTCTTGTTTTTTTTAAATGATATTTCCACACTGTGGTCGAAATAACACTCTGAAATTGTGTAAGAGCTGTATGGAGAGAAAAAAAGCCTGGAATTTCAGCCTTTTCAGGTGGGATGGAATTTTTGGCCCACATCATGATGTCAATGTGATCCGATTATAATAGACCAATTACTGTTCATCTGGGTAAGGGAGTGGGCTCTAGACGATCCTATGAGCCAATCAGGGCGGTGTATGTAAATATCTTCCCATTTGTTTCCTAACGCCCGCACGATCAGACTGAGCATTTCAAGGGCCAAAGGAGGCTCATGGAAATACATTCTTAAATAAACACACACATTGATTTATTAGACATACAGTGATGACTTAACAATGAATACCAAAGACTGCATGGGGGCTTTAGTTGAAGCTGACACAAGTTGGTCAGTACAAGCTTTGTACCTTAAAGGGAATTGAGAAATACGCCACTGGTTGTCTAGCAGGTCTGCAAACCCAAAGCTTTTGCCAAGAAACTGTCAAAAATGCTAACATTTTATTCCCGAAACTGTCACAAAATAATATACTTCCCCTCACACTCGGCTGGTGTTTTAGTAAGAGTGTTTTACACTAATCTTACCTCATGAGACACTCAGAATGTGTAGCCTATGATCAATAATTTATAGTACTGAAAACTTCATTTATTTACAGAGGGGGTAAAGACTCAAGATGTCTGTAAGATGGCAACAACCTTTATCTTTTGGCCCACATACTACAACTCAGGCTAAATCCAGAGAAATGTGTAGAGGAGGAGTGCTGTGGTTCCGTCAGGCTGGGTTTTCACTCGTTTCCTACAGGAGCAGCTGCCTGTGCTGCTCTGCACAGAAGGTCAGACCACTCTGAATGATTTAAATGCCCCTGGATAATTTCTTTGGGAAGAAGTGGATGGAGTGGAAAACATGGCCACTCCTTGGGGCAGGACCTGACATATATGCATGGCAGAGAGAGAATCCCAATCTGAATGAGCTGCACTGCGACAGCCTGAATATTCTCCCACTAGGTCTCGAGATATGGGCGTCATTCTAGGCCCTTTTATTGGCACTTGTATCTTTCATATTTTTCCGTATAACTAGACCCGTAAAGCCTATGGCGAACTGGGTCTTACTGTAATACAGCAAGAATAACGATTGGGCAGTGTTTTTGGCAGAGCAACAGCATAGTGAATTTTCTCAAGCTAAAGAAGAGCACTTTCACATGCAGTGATCATCTCTGATTTATTTTTTTATGAGCGGTCAACATTTTGCAACATTTAACAGATATCACTGTTAGATGTCTTACACTACTGCTTACTCAATGTGTGAATTGTTGCCTACAGAACCCTCTGAATCAGTTTGATTAGCTTGTTAACTTTAACAAAGACCTCAAACTGGGTTTGCTCTCTGAAGCAAGTCCCCTGATGGTGGTGAACAAGATGGATGGAGCTCACTGCACCGTCTTGGTGTGATTTAAATATTAATAATTTTGGAAGAAGATGGCGCCGTGGTGCTCTTTAAATCCCTCTGATCTAGCTCTCGCGCCCAGTAATCCTGTTTGTAGGCTGTCTACACTCCACTGGTCAGACATTATCTATCAGAACGAGACCATGCCTGGAACTGCCAGCCAGCTCTGATGAAAGTCCTTGGGTGTTATAAAGAATCTAGTTTTGTCCCGCAGAGATGACATTTTGGCAAAGACAGAGCACATGCCAAACAGGAAATTAATCGTGGGCTGGAATTAGAATGGGTTGGCTCCTGTGAGCCGTGTATCAGGGGCAGATCAGGACACCTTGGTTCTCCATAAGTATTCAGTCAGACACCTCCTCTGCACAGGTGTCTAAACACGTTTTATGCGAGTAAAGCCATACCGTATAACAAAAAAAATCACGACAGCTGTGATGGAAACAGGAAGTGTCGGTACAATTTTATAAATGTCAACAGACACTTTGTTTGTTTGACATTGTGGGATCTTTTTGTGCCTGTAAAATTATTCATGGGACAAATTGAGGTGGAAACAATTTCTTGCTCAATTGTTGATAGAATAACCATCATGTTAAGGCAAATTTGCAGTCACCCCACTAGGCACAGACATCAATTCAATGTTCCACATTGGTTCAAAGTAATTTCATTGAAATGACGTGGAAACAACGTTGATTCAACCAGTGTGTGCCCACTACAACTGGAAAAAGCATGCACAGTTTATTAGGCTACAGATGAAAGCTATAATGAACTTCACAGGATGGTGAAAGTGTACGCCGATGAGCTTGATGCTCCTTTCCAATAAATATCGAGGGTCGTAATTTGTATGCTATGACATGATGATCAGTGCTTAGCTGCCAATGAACAAATACATTTCATCAAAATAACCTAACCTTTCTACTTTAACATTTGTTTATTTGGATCTCCATTGGCTTTTTAAGAAGCAGCGGCTATTCTTCCTGCGATCCACACAAAACATGACAAGTAACAAAACACTGATAGACAAGGACAGTCACAAATTTAAAATACAATGATATACAAACAATACAACTAAAACAGTGTGTGTGTGTGTGTGTGTGTGTGTGTGTGTGTGTGTGTCCTTACAGTCCCCACCATTCCATGAGAGGTTGTTTAATCCGTTTTTTAATAAAGGTAATTTTGCTGTTTGCTTGAGTAATTGGAGATGGATGGGAGCGAACTGTCTTGAGAGCATGCGCAAAAACCTGATTGGGTAAGTTTGCCATTTATCGCAATAGTTTGTGTGACAAAACCATCAATAGATTGGAAAATGCAACGGAAACACATTGAATTTATGTTTTTATTCGGTACGTGAGAACTTAAGCGCAGGAGTTATTTTTATGTGCACTATATCACACACAGCCTTTTATCCGCAACAAGTCAGTTTGATGGAAACAAACCTCTGGTGGGAAAATGTGCATATTTTTTTAATGCATATTTTACATAATATTTGCATGAAAATCTATCGCAAATTAAATGGAAACCTAGCTACTGTTGAATGTCATCCAAGTTTAGCGCCTACATTATTTTATTTTATTCCTGCATTATACAAACTGGTGGATTTAACAGATTAGTTCAATGAATCCAGTTTCACAGTAAGGGTTGTGGTTCTGGGTCTGACTACAGAGTTGATTGTACATGTGACTGTTGTGACATGTTTTTCTTCACAGGTCCATTCTGGGTATGTGCTGATTAGAATCCCAACCAGTCCTCCTTTTCATTCTGGGATCATGGGGGGAGATTCTCTGAATGGGGGGGGAATGAATGGGAATGAATCCCATTTAGCCAAAGATCTCATCCACGGACCCACAGAGCAAAGACCTGGAACTAATTACACTAACGAGTTTGCCAATGAGCAGAATCGTTTACAAACGTACACACAACCACACACTGGTAAGCATACACAAAAATGGCAGAGACAACTGTTTCTTTTTGGAAACACAGACCATCAGGCAGCAGCTGTATAATCACGTGTGAGGCATACTGCCATAGTCCTCTGTGCATGTAGAGAATGCCTGAAACAAAATATCCTTGCCCTGCTGGGATTCCTTATCTCTGGTACACCGAGAACACCTCTTCTCTTCTCTTCTCTGTCCCAGAACCCAACAAAGACACCCTGGGGGCTGAAAAATGTCTGGTTGGTCCCCAAAACAACATATGGGGAGTTAAAATTCTGTTTGTGTGCTGTCCATGGTGCACAGACAGAGGCGCCTGGAAGTAGAGGAATTTAAATCTAAATGCATCCTTAGAGAGCAGCTCCTATGTTGGCATTGACAGGCTGCCAGGCAAGCAGAAAGTCTGTGCCAGTGCCAGCCAATACACCGAGGCTGAGAGAAGCTGACAATGGCCACTGTGAGAACGGCAGAGGAACATGCACAGGCTGCAGGGATCTGTCGCAGGCTGTAGATCAGGACTCAGTCCAGGGCTCCAGGACTCCCTAGGTGCAGGACCAGTGTTTACCCCAGGATGGGACACACATGCTGAGGTAGTATTGAACCAAGGACTGGCAATAGAGAACATGGGCGTCAGTCTATGGGAACCAACAATAGGCTCTGTTGCAGGTATCCTACTTAGTGTGACATGATTCAGCCTTTTGTCTTGAAGAATAACAGGAGGTTATTTCCCCAGGAGGTTATTTCCCCCCAAACACAGCCAAACTACTTTTCCCGCCACCATAAATTGAAGTGAGCTATCCTACACTGCCCAAAGAGAGGTTATGATGCACAAAATGATCAAATGTGGCTAGAATCTACCCCCGGCTGAATGCTGACCTAAATCGGATGCAAAACGTGCTGCATTCCAGCCAGTTTAAGTGGAAGGATTCCAATAATTTTTCTAATTAACTGTCAGTATGCCAACATTACATACAAACAATGCAGTCAATCAACAGCCATTCACTGGCAGAAATCAGTTGATGATAGGAGTTAGGCAAGTTGTAAATGCAGCAAGTACTGATATTGTAACATATAACACTCACAGCTTTCCTAGAAAACAAACTTTGAGACATTTATGGTCTGTTTACATTTATTTTAGAGGCTATTTACAGATAAAATTGGTATAAAATCTGTGTAAATGTATTTATAATCATATGACAATATTTTAGGTTGACAGTAATTATATTACACAATTTCTGATATATCAGATGCCTTACTTACTACTGCCATTAATTAATTAGACTGGTTTGGATTTCTCCCTGACCACAATGGCTGCCATTTTCATACCATTTTGGAACTTGAGGGTTTATGCCATAGCCCCTCTAGTAATTTGAATAGGATATCTGTGGTTTCACCCCTATAGCACACACATTGCGATACGAAGGCCTTGCTCACTATATCCAGCCAATGAATGTTTAGTTTAAAAACACAGCCATCAATCATTGTCAGATGAAGAAAAATGCTATAGCCTAGCTCTTGCAATCACCCGAGATGTGAATTCAAGCCTTAGCGTATCATCATGTATTAATTAAATGGAACTCTGAAATATGTTATGCAACAATTTTGCTGTTGGTCTGTATGTCATATTGAAAATAAATGGAATTTACCTGAGATAAAATCGGACAACTCTCCACCGCGACTTGAGACTTTCTTTTTCCTTGTGTCTCACGAACAGCTACCCAGCATTGCAAGGCTTCGCTTGAATGAAAAGTGCACGTTTAGCCTACTCAAATAGCCTGGATTTCACAAATCTATACTGCAAATGTGACATGAATTACCTATCCGTGATAAGAGTGACAAGAGTCAGTCAAAACGCTTACGCGGACAGCTCCAGTGCTGAAATGTTTTTCTTGCCACTTACGCGTGTGGAGAGCGACAGTGCAGCTCCGCCAAGGGAAACGCGTCCTTGAAAATGCAGCCGTTTGCACAGCACAGTTACAGCGAGAATAAATAACCATGGAGCAAGTGCTATTCACTAATCACACCCACACTAACAACAAGCCTTGCTAGTCAATCGAAAGCATCGAGGAGCAAGATAACGTGTAGGCTACTAAATCTACCTTCTTTATTGGCCGGAGACCAGTTTTTAAAAAAATGAAGTTTGTACCAGGATACACTTATAGCCAATATCCTCCCAGAAAGGTTGAGGACGTCATATTATGGAGTCTGGAGGCTTTCACAGCCCTCACTCACTGCTCTCATGGATCAATATCATCAGCTCAAACAACATCATGATGCAATCTGGAGATCTAATGGAAACCTATAGAACTGTCTGTTGGCCTGTTTCTGCCACCCCAGGAAACTCAAGCTAGCAATAAGAAAATGACTTATGGTCATCATTCAGTTACTATTGGGCAAAACATAACACAAAACATATCCCAAAACAAACTGCAAATGCATCCAATGAGTTTGTAGAGTCACAAGCTTTATGTAGTCATTGCGGGCAAGGAATATGGGTCCAAATACTAAAAACGTTTGATATGAATACCCTTTAAGTGACTAGTTTCCTTTACACTGACCGGCTGGGATGGTGCAATGGAACAGATCATTAGCAGTTCATCCACAATGCAATTGCATAACCATTAGCATTCATTTGGCTGGATTTAGGAAAATAGCCTTGGCTGCTTTTCATGCATCCTAATGAACAAATGCCCCAGCACCATACCAGAGACAGGGTGTGTCACAGTCTCATATCCCCTTTCCTTCGCACCCATACCCTCCATATATATGGTAATTGTTGCATTGCCTTATGGTTGAGCCAGGATTGATGTGTGAGTGAGTGTGTGTAATATGCTTGCTTCCTTTGTCCTTTTCTTATACAGACCCTCAACTCAAGTACGAACCTTTACAAGTCCTTTTATTTTTCAGTGTCCTTGCCTTCTGCGATCCTTGTGGCCTTGTCACTGTCCCACTGTAGATGGAATTTCCTAAATGACTGACTGCTCAGAATTCAAACCAACAGAATCTCTCTCTCTCTGTTCGAAAGATCCTTAATAAAATAAAATGTAATTCAATTATCTGTGTTATCAAACAACCCAAAAACATTAATTAATCAAAAGGGCAATTCAAGGCTTTCTTCTTTTGTATACCATGCAAAAAATAACAAAGATCTAGAGAGTTGGCTATTATCCAAGTATCCATTCCCTCATTTGTAATCAATGTCTAATATTTTGTAATTGAAGATTTTCAAAGGTTATAGAAATATTTCACTGTCTCCAGATTGATCATCTTTCATCCCCTTTTTTTCTTCAAGCTGGACTGTTGCATTACAATTGCTGATATGCCCACAGCCTCTCCTCATTCCATGTGCAGTTATACTGTATCTGTATTTTGTCCAAGACAGCTGAGACAACGGTACCTATCAGGATTTTCTTTCAGTGTACTCTTCATAAAATCAGCTCACACTGCCAAACACAGTGCCCGTCAGAGACTTAAAAGGAATGTTTAGAGGCCAAAATGTGCTGCCGCCAGGAGACCGTTCCAGAACTTTGACTCTTCAGTTTAATGCAGCTCCCATCAGAGGCCCACCAAAACTCAATAACAGAGTGAACTTAGGTTTAGAACTTTGGTTTGACAGCCCCTCATCATCCCATTTAGTCTGACATGATTCAATCATGTAACCTGAGGCTGTACAGTATAATACTTTAAGTGGAATGCTTCACTATAGGGAGATTCCCCAGCCTTGGCGGTTGGTCTTGCTGAGGAGGAGCAATTTTCGTCTATCTTTTCAAGACTTCAAATAGCTACGATATAATATTCTAGTAGTGTAGGGGTTTACACAAAGAGATAGAACCCTATGGGTTTACACCCCTCCAAAAATAATCTAACCCAGAATTTGTTGCATCAATGACCTACATATGACTGACCCTGGAGTTCTCTGAGATAACCCAGTTTGGAAAGCAGGAGGCTAAATGTTAAAACGGTCCTTCATGGTTAGATGGGGTTTAATATAGAAACTTAAGAAAACATAGCTGTGCATCCCTATATTAATTTGATTGTGTTACTTTTTATAAATGTTTTACTTTAGCTTATTTAGCAAATATTTTCTTAACTCTATTTTCTTAAAACTGCATTGTTGGTTAAGGGCTTGTAAGTAAGCATTTCACGGTAAGGTCTACACCTGTTGTATTCGGCGCATGTGCCAAATAAAAATGTGATTTGATTCAAACATGAATAAGTGTGGGATGTAAAAATATAGTGATGGATGATGATGCCAGGACTGTAGCCTAGCAACTAAAGCAACTGATTTAGAATTACTCCAAATGTGTGAATTGTTGCTCTTTCAAAGTTACATGTCTAGACTAACCCGATTGGCACTGTGCAACTATCCTTATAGGCCCTTCCTTTGTAAACCTGAGAGAAAGAAGCAGCTGATTACACATCCTTACCTGACATAATGGAATGTCATGGTAACTGAATTAGGGTCCTAATGCTGAAACGTGATAGAGACTACTAAAGTCAATAGTCTCCTTCATTCAGGTGTCAATCAGAATCACCTTTATTCGCCAAATATATTTGCATGTACAGGAATGAATTGGTGAAATGGTGCTGCTACCGCGTTACTGACAGACAATAGCAGAAAATACAAAATATATATAGACGCAGAATTTACACAATCCACATACAGTACGTACACTATAGGCACTGAAGCTAAAAACTACAGACTATACTATAAACACTTTAAGCTACATTGTAACTATATGTGTAGAGATGGATGAATAAAAACGAATTAAGAGAAACAATTTAACATGATGATGTGCAATGGGGTAAATATACACTATACATACAAAAGTATGTGGACACCCCTTCAAATTAGTGGATTCAGCTATTTCAGACACACCCGTTGCTGACAGGTGTATAAAATCGAACACACCGCCATGCAATCTCCATAGACAAACATTGGCAGTTGAATGGCCTTACTGAAGAGCTCAGTGACTTTCAACTTGGCACCGTCATAGGATGCCACCTTTCCAACAATTGAGTTTGTAAAATTTCTGTCCTGCTAGAGCTGCCCCGGTCAACAGTAAATGCTGTTATTGTGAAGTGGAAAGGAGTAACAACAGCTCAGCCGCAAAGTGGTAGGCCACACAAGCTCACAGAACGGGACCGCCAAGTGCTGAAGTGCGTAGCACATAAAAATCCTCTGTCCTCGGTTGCAACACTCAATACCAAGTTCCAAACTGCCTCTGGAAGCAACGTTAGCACAAGAGCTTTTTGTCGGGAGCTTCATGAAATCGGTTTCCATGGCTCAGCAGCCTCACACAAGCCTAAGATCAAGCGATGTCAAGCATCGGCTGGAGTGGTGTAAAGCTCGCCACCATTGGACTCTGGAGCAGTGGAAACGCGTTCTCTGGAGTGATGAATCACGCTTCACCATCTGGGTTTGGCAGATGCCAGGAGAACGCTACCTGCCTGAATGCATAATGCCAACTGTAAAGTTTGGTGGAGGAGGAATAATGGTCTGGGGCTGTTTTTCATGGTTTGGGCTAGGCCCCTTAGTTCCAGTGAAGGGAAATCTTAACGCTACAGCATACAATGACATTCTAGACGATTCTGTGCTTCCAACTTTGTGGCAACAGAAGGGGAAGGCCCTTTCCTGTTTCAGCATGACAATGCCCCCGTGCACAAAGAGAGATCCATACAGAAATGGTTTGTCGAGATCGGTGTTGAAGAACTTGACTGGCCTGCACAGAGCCCTGACCTCAACCCCATCGAACACCTTTGGGATGAATTGGAATGCCGCATTGCGAGCCAGGCCTAATCGCCCAACATCAGTGCCCGACCTCACTAATGCTCTTGTGGCTGAAAGGAAGCAAGATTCCGCAGCAATGTTCCAACATCTAGTGGAAAGCCTTCCCAGAAGAATGGAGGATGTTATGCCCATGATTTTGGAATGAGGTGTTCGACGAGCAGGTGTCCATATACTTTCGGCCATGTAGTGTATATATGGGAGTCAGTCCGTGGCAGAGCGCAAAGGCAGTACAGAGAGCAATATGCAGTCTAGGATGAAAGTGCATGGTGCATAGTCCACTGGTCAGAGCCTAGGATCCTAGGACTGGTAAATTAGTCTGTGGTTTAACATTCAAAATCAAGCAACATAACTTGACTAATATTAAGGATGATAAGATAAGAGATATTGCTTCTTGTAGAGTGTATAAGGTCAGGGTTAGGGCCAGTTATCTTGCACAATGCATAGATACCAACACTAATGTATTGAACAAATGATGAACCAAATAATTGACTGGTTGAGTTTGCTAGATTAAATCTATCGATGGTGCCTCTTGCTGAGCAGTCGATTACAATGCTTTATGGCCTCTGAAGGAAGAGATGAGTACATGAGGATTCCATTGCTTTATCTGTTTGACTCCATCACCAAGTCAATAGTTCACATACGACAGAAGAAACCCTGCGGAATGGTGCATGTCTCCTCTTGGGTAGGAACAGTTCAATCTTGAGGTTTGGACCATTACATTTTAAGCTTAAGGCTGTCTGCCCAACTTAAAGGGCAACTCCGCCACTTTTCAACCTCACATTCATGAAAACCTGTGTCTACATATGTGAAAACTGCACATTTGTATGTTTTGTAGAAAACATTATGTTAAAAAGTTCTACCAGATGATATCAAAAGTGGTTTTCAAACACTATGAGATTCATGGTGACGTGGGGAGCAAGAAAATACCCTCCCTCTGGCTAGAAACTCTTTGCAGGTTTTGAAAATCACAGTTTTTCTTACTTTTAATCCTATCGTGCGATGTCACAGAAGCATTTTTCAGGACCTTTCTTCTGATCTCTTTAACCACAGATCATAGAAACGTGCCGTTTTCACATATGTAGACACTGGGTTTGGTGCTGGAGATAATGAATATGAGGTTGAAAAGTGGCGGAGTTGCCCTTTAAGGCTAGGTGACGGCACATCAGTAGTATAGTAAGCTGAGCCAACAGTGTGGGCCTGTCAAACAGTCATTATGGACCACAAACATCCATTAGGACCAGTGAGAGGAGGGCCAGGCAGAACCGCTGACAGCCTTGAGCAATGAATTTAATTAAATGTGTCACAGGTTTCTGCCTATTTATGGCACAGCTTGAGTACAGAGGAC